AGTAGCAGTAAAACTGAACTTTTCTTTTGGCATCAGAAGTGACCAAAGAACATGAAGAAAATTGTTATCAATATCCATTACCCATTTTTAATGACGTTTCATAATACGATTCATAAGAGAATCCAATAGTTTTCTTAGGGAAAGATAAAATTACTTTACTTGTAAGTATATTCCCACTACATTCGTTGAAGCAGTTTATTGATTTAGGTCATTGATAAAATTTGATTAACCATATAAAGAGCTTTCGTGCGTTTTAACCCAGTTAGGAATAAAATAAGGGAAATTACAACAAAAATGTCAAATACAACATTGCAAAATATATTTTCTAGGAGCGAAATGATCGAAACTTGACACATGAAACAATATATCAAATAAACCAGAGGTCTATTTTTAACATGTAACATTTTTTAAAATGTTTACTTTTTACAAATAAATATTATAAACAAAATTCTTTGAATTTTCTGCGTATTACATGATCAATTAATTAATTTCTGCTAACAATACACAACTAAATACCATTTGCTAACAATTGAAATGTCAACAAACAAAAGCTCTCCTAGAACTTTGGCAGAACTTTTTGACACATAGAAGCTGCTTCTCATGCATAAACCAACTTATCTCAATGTAAACGACCAAATCTTAATTTGATTAATATAAATTGATTTAGCTGCAGTGGGAACATGATATATGATCAAAAATTTAGATGAGTGTAAAACATTCTGGCAACTCTAATATTGTATTTTGTTCACATATCCCTTCCATAGAAAGTATTAAAGGCAATTAAGCTAATACTCACTGAAGTATTTCTGTATTTTTGTAGATAAAATGTGTGATTAAGTATCGCTGTCATTATCACATTAAATATTTAATTTTATTGTTGTTTTGATTTGATATGAAATTAATTCGCTTCGACTATAATGAAAGAGGCATTAGTCATTATCGCCTTTCAATATAAAACAAAACATAAAAATAGATTTTCCCAAAAAAAAATTCGGTAAAGTTCAAAAGCGAACCGTTTTCGGAAAGCGTTATGTGAAAATTGTCTAACTGTGGTAAAGGTGAAGCCAAACACGCACAAGTGCGTGTCTCAAATGGTTTCATCGTAAATTGGTGCTCAGGTGTTCTACCTTCTTTTATTGTTATTGCACGTATTTACTTATAATTAAACCCAGACAACAGGTGGATTTATACTTTGTATTGGCGAGATTAGGAAAGGATTTAAACTGGTTTAGGAATCATTCAAATATTTTTTGTATAGAAAAAAACTGTAAGAAAAGTTATAAGATATTTATACATTCCAGTTGTTGTGGAAAAATTTTAAACTAATTTTTTTTAAATGTAAATATTTTGATATAATAAAGAAAAAAGAAAAATTCTGATTATTTCCATATTCTTAAAATATTGACCATATTTTCACATTAATTTTTGATTATTCTTATTAGCAGAAGATCCTTTACATTCATACGAAAAGAATATACAAAGACAGATAGATTTTAGAATGGTATCCGGAAGTATTGAAGAGATTTGAACTATATTGATTTCTACACCACACAACTTATGTAGTTCTATATAAAATATTTCAATTGCTGAACAGTATTAATATAACCTTGTAATGCACCATGATTTCATAACTATGAGATGCAGTTGTATTGAATAATAATAAATAATAATATAATATAAACATATAATAATAATAATACTGAACTAATATCAGTAATAATATAATACTACATAATAAATAATAATATAAAAAATACAGCGGCACGTGACACAAGCTACTTTGCGAAAATAGACGTAAATTCAATGCCTCAATGTCTTCAATTGGAGACATTGATTCACTGAATTTGTTTATACCCAATATTTCAAAATTCTTCCATTTCAAAAACTTGTTAAAATTGCATCTTCTATTCTATCAAACTAATATGTGAAACTGACCTCAAAAATACTACTATATATTTATCTAAGGATATTGTTTCTAAGTGTGTCATATACATACGTAACGTTGTCAAATAAATCGTTTACAGGGTAAAATAGTTGTTGTTCGTTGCGGCGGTGGAAAGATAGATCATTTCTTGACAACCTCAAGGTTACCAAGATTTTTTTGACAACCAACCGTCATCTCAACGTCCGACCCTCGCAGATTCTCTCGACATATGCATCGTGTTGCACTCTTTCAGAGGCAAGCCAATTTTTGCAGATCACTTTTCGATAGCAGCATTTGCAGCAGTAACATCACACTGGCTACGCCTCAGTAATTTTGCAAATTATTACGAAAACTCCAAGTTCCTTAAAACATTCATTTGGAGCAAATTTCCGATTTTAATAATGGATATGAATATTCTGACAAATATGATATATGAACCAGAAAAGATTAATATCGCATAAACATCATCATCATCATTACCTCGGACCGGTCTTCAACCATTTCAAAATATCTTCTTCATCTATTTTTATCCAACCATTAGTACCTACACTGTCAGATTGTTCATTCAATTTGCCTGTGTTTTCCTTAACCTCTTATTCGTCAGAGTCCCTAATATTTTCTGCTAAATATATTGTCAGCATCAACTCTGGTACAATATCTACTCCACCATATACGTAAAAAGTTTCGTACCAAACCAAACTCCTTTTTGAGAATTTATTTCTTGAAGGTTTTTAGTGCAAAAATCTGTCCTTTACCATCGGAACTGGCTTTAAAGGATCTTGTATACCAGCATCTTCATTCCTTGCATAACAGCTTGCTCTGAAATTGTTTCTTTCGACAGTAATTAGTGCTTTGAGCGAGTAAAGTTTTCTTATTAGTTATTACTTTTGATCCCAAGTATTTAAAAGGCCTACTAGAACTTGTCACTTCCTGTTTCTAGTATTCGCATTCGAAAGCTTTGTCATTTTGTAACAAGCAATATCTTTACCTGCTGCATCTTTATATTTTTCGCATATACCTTCATAGCAGTTTAGATGACTAAGTAAAAATAATCCCATACTGCCTTTTTCAATTAAAGAGTAAATATAACGGTCTTCGTAGTGTTTGGGATTAGTATGAATAATGATTTCAATGTCCGATCATTTTGACTTTTGAACCCAATATTTTTATAATAATTAAAATCTAATAATTACTACGGTAAAAAATAGATCAGTAAAGATATTATTCTCAATCATTTTACTTGAGTAATATTTTTGGACTGACCACACAATTCTTTCCGATACTACCAAATATCTTCAATCAGTACCTATAAGAATAAAATTGAATCCTTTGAATTGGAAATCAATTGAAAATGAAAAGACTAATGGAATCTATATAGAATATTAGATATGTAAGTAAAAAATAAAATATTGAATTGTAGTTGATTATGATTTATTTTTTTATCTTTTAAATTTTATTTTAATGAAATAAATGTACCAATTAGATTTAATTATAGCTGGCAACACTATTAGTGGATATGTTATAACAATAAAGTAAAATTTCAAATTCTTCAATTTCAGATACAAAAAATTTATTTATTTATGTTTATTTAAAGTAAAGAACTTTATTTGCAGTTGTTCGGTATATAGCTATAGACGATTTAGGTGTTTAGACATTTTCAGCTCAGAATTTAGTAAATGGAAACCTCAACATACGTATGTTGTATGTACTAGGTAATTTAATAATAAATGAGGGGAAAACTTACAAAAAAACTGTTTCAACTTTAACGGAAATGTATTTAAACTAAAATATATTAACAAAAATTTAAAAAAATGATTCCGGTAAATTTTCTTTAGGTAATGGTATTTGGTAATACAACAGTTTCTATTAAATAAAATAGTCACTACTGTCATATTGACGTTAAGATCAATTTAAATATATTATTATTATGTTGAGGCTAGTTGAGTCATTGCACTTGAGCACTTTTACTCTCTATTAACTGCGAGGTTTCTTCAAAACCCCTCTTTGCGCCTTGACTTTATTATTATTTATCACATCATCAGACTAAGTAATAATTGACCTCAGATCTGCATACCTCCCCGAGGAGCCTGTAACCATTCTGAGATTTGATAATGCGGGGTTATAAGTCTGTCAGATTTTCGCAAATAATTTCAAGGCTCTATCCTTTATGTATTTTTTGATGGGATCAATCTTGAGGTCCCTAAGGATGTCATTCGTCCTAATATACCAAGGAACTTTGAAAAATCTTCTCAGAGCCTGGCTTTGTGCAATTTCTAGCTGGTGAATAGTAGTATTTGAAGCTTTGCTAAACGCTACACAACCATATAGAAGTGACGGACGAATTATTTGGTTATATATCAGTTTTCTGTTCTTAGCATTGAGATTTTCATTTCTATATATTATAATACTATAAAAAGAAATGAAAGCCAGTCCTGGACAGCATAGATTATTACGGGAACGGATACAACTTTCTTTGTAAACATTTTATAATATTTTTAAAATAATGAGTACTAATCCTGGATAACATAGAATATTACGGAAATGAATAAAAATTTGATTTTAAACAATTTATAATGCGATAAAAACAATGAATGCTAATCCTGGGCAGCAAAGAATATTACGGGAGAGAACATAACTTTCTTTTCAAAATCCCATAATGCAATATAAACAATGAATATATTCAATAATTTTATAATATATTTTATTAAAAAATTAATACAATTATAAAAACAAATCCTATATTGCTTTTATTTCTGTTTATTTAGAAAATATGATTTTTGTGTTTTTTTATTTGTCTCGTTTCTCAATCCAAAACAATTTTCACAATTCGAAATTCTCCAGCTCAGAGTACTGAATATATATAAGTTCATAAGATTATATTAAAGTACATTAAAAAACAATAATGAAAGTAAATAACTTCAGAATTCAACATATATCAATTTAGATTTAAGAGTATCTCTTCGATTCGTTAAACGATTTTGCTATATGCAACATATACTAGTGCATATACGCGTGCTACATTCAAAATGGCTTATAACGCCCTTAGCTAAATTTATAAATTAATTACATCAGTTAATACGTTAATAGTCAGTTGTTCAATATTTGGTTTTTGGTTTATTCGTTTAAAAATGTTTGTTCCTTATAATTGGTTTTATTTTTTTATTTTTTAGTATATATAACAAATATAAATAGTTTAGAACTTTATATATGTGTTCCACTTGTTCTTACTTTTAAGTGTATATGTAAGTTTTTTTTCTTTTTGTTTTAAATGTTATTAAATATATAAAGTGTGTTGTGTTTTATAAAAGGAGACCAATTCGATTGTTTTAGTATGGATAGAGATTTTTGCGTTTAAGCTCCATATCCAAATCAGCTAATTGTTGCAGGAAACCTTCGTTAGGACGTATGTCACGACGCATGCGTACTTTACGTATCGCATCCTGTGCAGACATTTTACGACAAATCATCAAATAAGCCAGCACACATGTAGCCGATCTGGACATACCAACAAGACAATGTACCAGAATTTTACCTACAAAGAGTGACACTCGTTATTTATATAAATAAATATTGTATATGTAATGTAATTTCTACTTACCGCCACCACTGATGGCGCTATCTATGAATTTTGCTGCCACATAAAAGTATCTGGATATATCTGTTGATGGGGCATCAACCATTGGGAAGCCCATATATCTAAAAAAAGTTTCTTTGTTGTTTCTTCTACTCTCGTTTTCATTTCAAGTGCAATATTTACAAAGCATATAAAAATAATTACGTACGTAGATGACGCAGTCAACAAAGCAAACAATATAAAAATTTTGAAAAAATTAATTTTGAAACCAAAAGAAATTTCGATAGAACAGAGGACCAAATTGTAAACCAGAATTCAGCAAATAATTATCAACAAAATAAAATCGAAGTTCAGGAAATATTTCACAAAAAAAAGATAAAACAATCCATATTTTTGACATAAAATTAAGAAATCAAGTATTTCGTTTAAATGTCTTTTCTGTCCAAAAAGTGCAAACTTATCAATAACTTCATTATTACACTAACCTCACACTTGGCATATCACGGTAGTAACTGTGCCCAGTGTCCACTTGTCCATAACGACAACCTTCCGCGGCATTCAGTACATGTGTTATTCCCATCATACGCAGGTAAGTTTTATTTTTTGCTGCCGCACTATAGTTCCATGAAAAAAAAATACAAGAAATGGGAGCATTTTTAGTTTAAAAGTCAAAGTCATAACATTGAAGGCCACTTACGCATCGCCAATATAAATTCCTGGGTAAACTTCATCACAGTCAACATCATGCAAAACACATTCTGTCCTTTGAAAGCCTGGCAATGATCGGCAAGGCGAATAGTGCAGCACGCGCTGCAACTGACGGCCTGTGGTCTGCTCTGATGATTCCAGACGGCTTGGTGACTGTAAAATAAAATTAAAAAAAAAATTAAATAATAAATATAATAATAAAATGAAAAGACATTGACATTATTTCAAGTTCTTGCATTTAAAACGAGGTTAATACTACTTGCAACTGCCGATGCACAAATTCTTTTTAGTTAAGTAGCTTTTATGCTCTTGTGCTACTACACAAGGATATGTGAAGCTGGTATAGTAAAAGCTTTTCTAAGGTTATTCTCTTTTATAAACAATAAAAATACATTTTTTATAATTGCACCTAATCTTCTTCTTAAACCATGTGCAAGCTGTATAAGCTTTAACCCTGAAACTAAAAATGTTATTTGGGGCATGAAAGAGGTCATATCTACTCAACAGTTGGCATCCAGTTAGTTGCAAACTAACTTTAATTGAAGGCGAAACAACAAGTTCGTAAAGAAACAGCAAGGCAATTCATCCTATTAAATTGTAAAAGATATCATACTTTCATTATTTTTATTATTATTTTACTTATTATTGTGTCACAGGACATGTCAACAAAAAGCCTTAAAAAGATGGCATGCGGTTTATGGCCGTCTTAATTTAAGAAGACAGGTATAACCACTTCTGGAGATAGCAACGTTATTGTGTCTTAGCAAAAGTTTCACGATCTCAGGGTATCCATTTCGACCTATAGGCCCATTGTGTAACGTGTTTAGAAAAATACAGAGGTTTAGAACCTCTTACAAAACTTATAATGCTATTTAAGAAAAAGTTGTGCAGTTTACCAAGATCCTTTCAAAAGACCCTAAAGTGGTAAGGCGGCATCGCAACTTATACAAAACAGGTGGGTGGCACCTTCATGCTCCTCTCCACAACTGCGGCAGGTATACTTGAAAGAGATATTCAATAATCTTGCATGTTACCTAAAATGCAGTGATTTGTAAGTAAATCTACCACAAGACTGATATCTCTTCGGGGCATCTCAAAGTGCGAACTGGATTTCCTTATATTGGAACGTGGTCAAATTGTATACAGTTGCCAGTATATCATTGAGGCTTCCCATATTTTGTGTTTGCGGAATATTATCTTATAAGTCAACGAAACTTATAATCTATAATTACTAAACTTAGGAAAAGGAATACACATCTGCTCTGTTCTTATTCAGAACATAATAAAATATATAAATAACAACTATATGATGACTATATAGTGTCAATGAGGTTCCAATAAGGTAACTATAATGTGATATCAATAAAATAGTTTAACGAGAGTTAAAACTTCTCGAATTCTAGTGACTTTTGAGACTTTGAGGGACTTTTGAAGAATTCCAAGACTATATATACATACTTGGATTTCTATTTTTGAGAATTCCAAAGAGTTTCAGGCTTTTCGAAGCCAATCGAGGGTTCAAACAATACTAAGTTAAATTTTTAATACAAGATCATTAAGATACTGAATATTTAATGTACAATTTCTAAGTAAAGAAAGAAATATATAACACATATAATCACATATAAACGTTTATAGGCAACATTTGTAGGTTGAGCACCTGAACGCTACTACCTGTCTTTTATAAGTAACAGCTTTTATCTCCAGAATTACAAAATATATTAACTTCTTTTGCTATTAAATTAAGTAGTCAAAAACATATATATGTTATATAAACATATATATCTTTTTCATCTAAAGTTATTTACTTATTTATATATATAATAAATATATAAATATATAT